ATATCGTGGGTAATGTTAATTCAAGATCATTATGTAGTTCACAACGCACTATCACTGGGTTGGCTTTGGTCTAGCTCTTCCAGCTAATAGTGGTATTGCCAAGAAATATTGCCATTAATGTTGAACTGTCCTCCTAGCTGGATCTCCCGACCTCCCTGTCAAGCTAGGATGTTCCAGTAGGCTCTGTAAAAACCTTAACATTTCTTTTATTAGCTAACATTTCACTATGGTGCATACTGTAGGCCAAATGCTAGAGTACAATATAGTTGAAAGCCTGGGAACGATTCAATGGTACGATGAGTCAATATCTTATTTTCCCGATCAGGTATTAGTAATTGGCCAATCAGAAACCAATGAAATCTGCTGATCTTGATTGAGGAGCTCGGAGCTACATATCTCGCCCCGGCGCATACTAATATTTGATCATTGGATGTGTCACATTGACACGTCATTTACATTCCTTCACAAAATGAAACTTCCCAATGCGAACTCCGTGAATCTTTCTCTGGTCCATTAGTAAGCCCTTAGTGCAGATAGTTACTAGATTGAGTGGGTCAGAGTATTGCAAGTAATTCATATAGCATGCGAGAGACTTTGATTCAATCTTGTAAGCCTCCAAAGTTACGGTATCAGGCTCACCTAGCGACCTGTTATTAATGGCCCGAAGAAATCCATGAGGGTTAAAGTCAGGCAGTTTAGAAAATTGCCACGTCAGGATGAACTAGATTCAGTTGTTTGACGAATTTCCCACTTTCTCGAAGAAGAATTGGGAGATGCATTTTCAGCGCATTTAAAGAGGGAACTGGACTTCAAAAAATTAAGATCCGCGTCTTTAGCGATGTTTGAAATTATCAAATGACTTTGTTTCAGCTTAAATTCAGCTCTCCCATCACGTAGGCTTAAATAATAGAAAAATACCTCAAGTGCAATGTCCCATTTCCTAGGAATCGCACCAGGAATAGCAGCTCCTAGTGATATAAGACCCATTTTTGATAAATGAGTTAAGACAAAATGCAGCCTTTTCCGGCCCTGCGTGGCGCCCTTTACCAACCATCGGTACCATGCATTTCACTGAGATGGTCCAGAAACGGCAGGAAGGGAGCGATGCGAGGAATGTATTTAGCATGAATGTCCAAATAAATGTAATTATTGTCTTTGAGGCCGTATATGTCGATGCATATAATCGTAATACGACACGTGCTGATGGCGTAACATAGGCTCATAAATACGGTGACGCTTCTGTGAATACCAAGCGAACCCTAGGATATCCCAGGTGTAGTGGAATCATTATGTTGGTCATGTTTCCGTGGAAAGCTTGCCTAGTCCATCAGCTTTGAGCTTGCGCAAAGCAATATTCACCTCGACCTCCTGGGAACTTTGTTAAATATGTGCCAGGGACAGGCAAGAAGTATACATATACACGGTATGCCTTAACCGCAAGAAAGCTATTATTTTTCTGCCTCCTCGCGCCACTTTTTGTGTCCAACATTGACTATAAATTACCTAAGACTAATTGTTGATGTTTTGAACAACACTATCCATATACACAAATATGTGAGACCATGACAGAGAGCTTTTAGTCTCCCAATAACGAAGTTCTTGCTCTGTGGGACCAATTTGTTGACTGTAGCGTATTCATAAATGTATGTGGTGAACTCGAAGAAGGATTAGCAATTGAATCACCGCAATTATGAGAGCTCACGCCTACAGATATGTGAGTGCACATCAGAAGTTGCTCGTGACAACGTCTCGCTACAAATACGGCCCTGCATGTCTCCTTGATGAATCAATGATTCCATATTACAGCACAGAGCCCTCTTTTTTTTCACACGAGGTACCAAAACAGTGAGATATAGGCCCCATTCTGTTTGGAAAATATGGCACACCCCCCATCTGTCATTCGTGAGCCATCACCTCATAAGTATCAGTACATCTCAAGGCAGCTGACCCATTCGATGATGTTAGCCCCCAGGAAGATTCTGGTTCAGTTGATTGATTACAGTGCGACAAGACCTCATATACCTCATACTGCGACAAATTTATACATAATGCCCTGTTATTTGTTATTATGCAAGGAAAACTATCAATCGTTCGAAAGTTGCTTCATCAACGCGATATTGATGTCAACGGCCGGCGTCCGAAAGTCCAGGTTCCGATTCTGATAGCCTTAGAATATCAACGATATGAAATCTTGACGATCCTTCTGAAAGATCCGCGACTGGATAATGCCATTCAAGGTGGCGAAGGCCACACCGTACTTCAGCTCTCTGTGATATATGACGACCCTGTTACCGTGAAGATCCGGTTGGATAACACGCATATTAATATCAACCATCGCGATTCCACTTGGAATAGCGCACTCCTTCTAGCTTCCTAGGCTTACGACGGCCCGGACCCCAAGAGAAACGAGCACATAGATCTTCTGGTTTCAAATTCAAAGATTGTGGTAAATGAGCGAGGTCAAAGAGGTCGTTCGGTGCTGTAGCATGCAGCACACATTGGCAACAACAGACTGATCTCTCAACTGGCCCAGCTACCGGACCTGGAGCCCGGGATTGACGACGATAATGGTGTGTTTCATATGAGCCAAGCTAGGAAAAGGGGAAACATCGAGATAGCTGCGCTTTTGCAGAACTTTTGTTGCCGGCTACCGTGGGGTGCGCAAGCACGACATGGAGTAGTCTGGCAATCGCAAATTTCAAATGACGCGATACAAAGCTGGGCCGTTAAAGCCAGCATTGAAAAGATTCTAGTAATGTTTCGTTTCAAGGATGTACTTTAGGAAGTTCCGCAGAGGCCCGTCGTAGTATGAGCCAGATGCAGGAAGATAGCTGCCCTGTTAACAAAAAAGTCTCGACAGGTCGAGACGAAGCATTAAATTGATCGGGAGCGACCAATACCCTCGGTGACCATGTATGTAGCTGCGATAGCTGCCTCCATTATTCGAAAACAATGTAATTTTCTATAAATTTGATTCATCCGCCACGGGTGCGCTATGTCACACTCGCAGCTGAGCACAGACTCCGGCCGTGCAAAATCGCCCACAGACCCTCATAGCGATTGGTGGGATTCCCTCTTGGGCATAATATTGAGCCTTGTAGTTGGTCCTACCAAAACGCAGCCTACCCACTTTTGAAACATCTAGGGCATATTAACAAAATAAGAGTGGTCCAGCCCAGCTTCAAAGTCTCTTACAGCCAATCCTACCGCTGTAAGCTCTACAGAGGGAACCTTTTCTGTCCAACGGTGGCTTAGTAAGTTACAATTGGAGTAGGGCGCTCGGAAACGTTTGGCAGCCGGGAAAACATTTCTAGGATCTACACGTCAGAATGAAAATATCATTGAGCAAAATTATGATACATAATGAAGTTCATTTCGAGGCACTTGCTTCAAGAACTTGAGCTAAGACTTCAACGGTCGACTTCAGATTTTTGTCAACTCGACCCACGACTGTAAATATAAGATGGTAAACAATTTTATCAAATGCTTGGAAAAGGTAGGCGCTTTGAGGATCGAGAGCTTGGCATTCGTCTTGATCCAGTAGTCTTAGAGCGGAGTGAGCTCCACGGTGATTGCGGGCTTTTGCATCAGCCTGATCGGGGGCAGATACATTGTAATAATTTCGTGAGGGCTTTTGGGGATCAAATTTTGAGGTAGTAAAAAGATAATTGCGAGCAATCACTGTAGCGCAGAGGGAATTCAAAACACTTTCAGTGACTTCAGGGAAGATCACGCGAAAGGGTCTTAGAAGGTCTCTCCTTTTGCTTTTGCGCAAAAAGGAGATGACAGGTGATGTCAGAACGGGAATGTGGTGAGGAAAACGTTTCACGGAGAGATCAAGTTCCCGTAGAGTCCATTTGCGATCCTTTAGGGGCTGCTTGGGCCGCAAATCCACCCTGTCTCCCAGTTCGGACATGTCGAAATTAAAACGAGGCAAGTAAATACTAGCCGGTGATGGTGTTTTTGAGTCCAGATTGAGTGGTTGTGGTTCAGACTGATAGAGTGTTCTTCTCTGTATTTGCGAGGATTCCGATGGGTCACCGATAGCAGCTGATATGAAACAGCCAGGTTCTAAACCCTCGGAATGAGCATGTACTCCATTGCCAGCCGAATTCCGGCAGCTTTTCGGGGCAATCATACGTTCCAGAATACTGCAGCCAAGAAGTGGCATATCTATTGGCACATCTCGACTTAAAACAACGCCTCGCTCTTTCGGCTCAAAAGGTGTCTCACTTGGCAGCGAAGCAAGTGGCAGCATATGCGTTGTGGACAGGACAGGAGCCACCGAGGTTGAAGATGCCTGTCCGACTTGAAGCGATTTAGGTAACTTTGAAGTCAATTGCTTCTGGTAGGCTCCAGTGCATCCAGTGCCGGGACCTTGCAATGGATGTGAAAAATCCACCCCAGGTACATCAGCTGACTTGACCTCTGGGAATACCTTCGGCATGGGAAGAGGTTGCTCAACAATCTGAAATTTTCTACGGCTGGAAGCCGCAGTATCACTGTCATGATTATCGTCTCGACCGTCTGGCACACCCCTCAGCCACGTCTTGCAATGAAACAGGCTGTTCGATACCGAGTTTTTCTCCTTGAGTATATCTTTCGTCTCCGACTGTGGAATATCTGGAAAAATGTCTTCGACGGGCGGATGAGCACAATGATGGAATGTCGGTGAAGGGGATGGGACGGGTGTGATCTCAGTTTGAGTAGAAGGCAGCTTCGAGCGATAGGCGCTACCTTGCCATGTCTGGTTTGAGTCTGTCTTTTGACAACATGAATGTATATCAGCGTGGTTGACATTTTTGCACATGCCATCAGTTTTTCCCTTTTGTGGGACAGAAAAGGCTTGATTGCCCGTCTTCTTCATTTTTTCTCCATTTGTTTGAATTTGTTGTCGAGCAGGATTGTTTGCTGTTTCCCTGGGATGTTCAACTTTGCTTTGGATAGTTTGATTGTTGTCATATTTATCGGCTGAAGCATTTGGCCTCGTAGATGCGGGGTTATATGGCAGGCTCGGATGCCTATAAAATAGGCCAATGTTAGCAATGCTAGCGGTATAGGATACTGATTGGAGGGCGTTTGCGATAAAAGCTTAGTGAGAGCGTGTATACCTTGGCGGCATGGAGGTACTGGCCGACGATTCCTTGTCTGGGGAGGATGCTCCTTTTGAGTTTTGTGGTTGAAGTTTTGGGCATGGACTGGCGGGAAGCGACAGCGGAGCCAGTGAGGTCGCCCGCTGCTTGTTCATTTGGGGCTGATAGGTTGGAGACCATCGACATAGTGAGGGGATGAAATCCGGTAGGCCCGCGTCGTCAGGTCTGAACCGCCAAGATGGACTAGACCCTTCGGACCACAAATATTGCTCGACTTGAGCATGGGGGTAGACACGTTCAGACATGTCAAGTACAGCGTCGCCGAAGTCCCTGATTTATGAGAGTAGACTTGAACACGACACCGAATATGGCAGAAAAGGCAAAGCACATAGATATGGTGCCGAGTGGAAGGTAAGAAAGGACGAGACCTACGGTAGTTATAAGGATAGTGTTGGCCAAGCAGTTCTTAGGAAGATCGTGATCACTTGGGATGAACATCCCTTGATAGAAGTCATGTTCTGCCATATCGAACTGAGAAATTGGCCGGAAAGAAAAATTTTATTTACTCTTCATTGCCCTTACCGGTACGATTTATGTTTTTTGCTGAGAAAAATGAACTCACATTCCTTCTGACTTCGTACTTGCTACCTATCAGAAGGGCAGTTGGTAGCAGTCCCAAAACCAGGGGTATTTCAGCGCATCTTCAGTCGCACAGACCATCCTCCCACCGCCTCCGATTGACACGGCTCGTTTGGGCGGCATCGGAAATGAAAAAAGTGAGATCAAAATGGGAGGTACAGTTGGTCACCTGTAGTACCATAGCTCATAGTAAATCTACAGGCAAACTAGACTGTAGGCAATCAATCAGTATGATGATTTATCAAGTGCAACAGTGCATGGTGACCAGACATCACAGAAGGGTGTCCAGGGGCAGTGGGCGAAAAGTTCGCGGGAACGAAAGGCAGCCAACGGATATTTAATCCCATTCAGGCACTCAGCCAATAACGTGAGAACACCTGGGGCACCATTATGCCTGAGGGTGGGCCATGCGCGAAACAAATCCTATGCCTAGGAGAGATAGTCTGGCATACTCTTGAAACCCAGTTAAGAATTACTCTAGGGATGCATACAATACCAGCTGGGATGTATTGTAGAATTGGGTTTCTCATTTCCAACCAGGTAAGTCTAAATTGGGAGATTTGGTCGTTTCTCCAGCTCGTTGCTCGGCCCAATGTGGAAGAACTGTGCGGTTAGAGGTGAATCACATTGCTTAATTTAGATTATGGTGGGGATGTTCGTGGCCATGCAAGTCTTGACAGGTCTGTAGTACTTAATAGGTTTGGGGAGTTATGGCCCGTAGATTACTCTTTTGTGATGACGATTTCAGTGTACCTTGTCGAGCAGCAGCTAGTGACTCTGCCCAGAAAATCTGAAATCAAAATGAGCGGCCCAATCAACATACCACAAATTTTCTCCCAAAAGCTTTTCTCCTAAAGACCCTAAGACTTCGCCATATGCTGTGTCCCTAGGCCATTATCGATTTGAATGAATGCTGCGCATTATGTTGTGGCTTTCGGAATATCAGGGTATCCGTAGCTTAGCGTAACTCCTGAATAGCCAGGGATAGCGAATCTTCTACAGGAAGACAACATTATTCTAGAGATAAATATTTAGTGCGTCATGGTGTTCTTGTTGAAGGGAAAGCGAGGGGCGGAATAGGACGATCTTGACCCGTCCTGAAAGGGAAATGTTGTGCGAGTAAGAAAGGGATTAATCCCCATCGCATCAATAAAAGCCTACACCGATCAATTGAATAAATCCCGGGGAATTTGGATCCACAGGTTTACCCCATTGCCCTAGTTTCTGGATTAACGCTTTCAACTAGTTGAGCCATCTTTATTGGCTTCAGACATTGACGCGCCAAGACTGCGTGCTGCCGGGCTGAGGCCCACCCACCTACCCCTTTGGAGTCTGGATATCACATTGGTAGCGTGATGTATCAAAACCTAATTTGCCCCCATCGAGACCATAGAGAGGCTGAAGTGTGGCAGTGCCTTGGAAATTTTCTTTATCTGGAGATGCTAAGGCTTGTACGATTGACCAGAAGGCCTTCCGAGGTAGTGAGGCTTTATCTTCTTACCGGACAATGATGTAACGACCAAATAACGCTAGGAGTTTTCTGATCTAAGGGGGAAATTGGTTCAAGAAATCGGGGCCCCGGCTGTAGTCTGTGGCTAGTTTTAGATATTTTGAGAAATTAAATCGATCTACTTGGCTACGATTGGACAGCAATGTTAGTATCGTTCAGTCATGCAGTCCCGCTTAGGGGTCGAGAGCATTCAAAAATGAATAAAGACTCCTCCCACCCCATTTGTTTGATCGTGAAGTTTAGTGAAATAGGTTATCATATACCCCGTCGCTTTGGTAGGCAGTGCCTAATTCTCCAATATATCTCTTTTTTTAGCCTGAAATGGATCAAGTTGAAGTGAGAGACTTCGACCGCCCGAAAGAAGCCATTGCTCACCTTGCATATTATGAGGCATGCCAACGGCAATGAAAACATCTAAGGGAAAGCTGCCAACCAGAGGAGGGACAAAAAAGTAGTGTTTCATTGCTTGAGGGCTATCAAAGCCAATGGCAGCAACTGATGGAAGCGACGGATAGAGAGATCCAGAAAATTCGAGGTATGGGCGAAATTCCAAACATCAAAGTGATATAATATATGCAGAGATCCATTTAAAGCTCACCTAACTAATGAATATAGATGAAGAAGCCAGGAGTCCGTCAGAGACCTGGAGTTGTGGATGCATTTGCCATGACCTACAATGAAGTTGGCTCGGTGCCAGCAGGTACATGTGTTCCACTAAAGATAACGGAGATGCAGTCACAAAACAGTCGGTACGTCTTTGAAAGAAATTACAGTTTCCACGGGTTGCGTCGCTATAATACCGACAGAGCGAAGGTCGTCGTTGCGTGCTATCAGTCTCACCTTCGGTGATTGGTTGCCATCCCGCCGTTATTCGTTCACACAAGTTCTCGCAACATTTTGATTTACGACTAGTGATAGCACCAGTGATGGCGTTGATGATAAATATTCCTTAAGACTATGAATTCTTTTAAAATACTCGCTCTTCTAGTCACTTGCGTGGATCTTTGCCTTTGTTTTGAAAAAGGCCCCGAGGAGTTCGAATAAAGCATATTGCCTACCATTATACGTATATCGGCTGTAGTGTTGTCTCTTATAGGTACAGTGATCGAAGTAGGCTTAGAATTCTCCTAGTCGCAGTTGGTAATTACGCCACATTCAGCTCAATTACAAATGCATGTATGAGGAGGTCCATCACGAGGATGGAATAGCAGTTTTCTTAACCGGGGCTCTCCACAATCCGATGTAGTGATATCTGAAATTGGCTATTCCGTTAGCTCTTATGGCTTGTGGCCTGGGGGATAAACGTGAAAAAGGCAAGTTGTGATATTCTCATACTAAAAGACCATGCTCCCAGACCTCTTTCTAGTCGACTAAGTTTATCTGACATTAACGAAATAAGATATCACGGGATGTGCTTCAAATGAAAAGCCCATACCTTTTCTACCGGGCGTGCCCTCCGGAATTGATTGCAGGAGAAAAGAGCCCCCTTGATGTTGTTTGGTATAACAGGCAAGGATTGCCTACCAGTACTGCGATCAGAATAATAATATCTATGGAAGTCATTTACGACAAAAATATCGCATACTAAAAACGTCACGATGCGATTGTTATGTGAAGGGTGAATTTTCGGCAATTAATCATCATTCCCTTGCTGCTAATCGGCAACTTGCTCTCACGCTCGGCGTTCTCTGCGCTTTCCATAGGCGAGCCACAGATCTATCATAATTTTATTTTTCGTACTAAAGTTTTCCCGCGCGGTAGCAATGATTTAGCCATCCCCTTCGAACCTCAAGGATGTTTGCCTCTGCATTCATCATGAGCGCACAAGCGAAGTTATCTTTGTCCTTCATCTTTACGGCTGGAGCTCACTTTCGTTGAAGCCTGTCTCTGCTACGTGTATGTGTCATTTAAGCTGATCTCAATCTTCTTGTACCTTCAGTAGAGTGAATGAACATAGCTAGCAAGCATGTCAAGCCAGGCCCCACAGGATTACACGTCTGCTCAGCATTTTGCCCTCATCTATATTGATCAATATGGGAAAATTCGCCATCAGGTGTCCCCTTCAATCGTCCACTATCGCGACACTATCCTCAGCCCTCAAGTCACCACGGAATTCCTGAAAGCGGTGGCGAAATCCACTCAAGTTGGGCTGCGAAAGCCTTCCCTAGAACTCCCTTCTACTCAGCTACTTCCTAGTCACCTCGTGACCTATGACTCTAACGATTCCTGGTTACCAGAGGACAGGAATATCGAGGGACATATTACACCCATGACGAGTGGATGCCATTACAAACCAACGCCATAGCCAGGAACTGGCAAAGCTGGCTCGGCCATCTTAAAAGATAAACTGTTTCACATGGAAAGCCCTTGCATCCAGAAGTACAGACTGAACCTTCAGGAAGCCGTGTTATCTATCAAAGATACAAACTTCCTTCCTCGATACTACGAAAAGGTTTTCCAGAATATACAGGAAACCAATTGCCGAATCCTGGCAAAAGCCTATGTGAAACTTGTTGAGCCCCAGAAGCAAGTTTACCACCCATACAATGGGTGAAGATTCGCGGGGGGGAGAACTGCAGCAATCGAGTCCCGGTGAGAGTAAGCCACCCTGGTGGCCTCCTGGAGTACACCATCGAGAGCCCGACCATTTACTCAAAGCAGGTAATAGGACCCCTTCCTGCGCATGGTATGCACTAAAATCAACATTTTACTAGAACGCATCGCTCTTCTTCTCCATATTCTTTGTGATTTGCACTGGAGCCACGGAATTACTTCACAAAAATTGAAGAATGCAGAGCAGACTGTCCGGTCGCAGATCATCCCGGTCGAGTGATTAGAACTCCTAGATGAGTTGTATCGTGTTAGAGGAGAAGAGGAAAAGTTTTTGGAGGGCTTTCTTGGTAGGGACTTGGGACCGCCTATTATTCACAATCTAACGAGGTATATCTAGACAAAGACGCATATGTTCTTGTTTCGCGGATCAATTTACCCGTTCCCGATGAAATGCCCAGCAAAAAGGGCCGACCGAATAGTCGGGTCTCTTCGAAGTACAAACAGGATACAGCAACACACAAATCATCATCTCGTAATCGAGTTGTGTACAATATGCCTATATACCTTCAGCATAGCTTCGCAGGATACACCACTGGCCAACAATCTGTGACAAGTTCTTCGCGAGCCTCTGCAACGTCGTCCGCTCCCCTTGAAAACAACTGCTCGGCGATTGAGGAGGCATGTTCTTCGACAGCCATTGTTAATCCCACAGAGTTATTATCCTCTGATTGTGCCAACAGCCCTTCTTGGCTTATGAAATTTCCAGTAAGGGAGTGTTATGTGGCATTTTAACTACAAAATGCCAGACTGGTTCATTTTGAATGGCAGTATTTTTGCAAATCGCATCTCAATTTACGAAATTGGAAGGTAAACACCGACATTTACTCTGCTTGATGCTTGCCTGTTATATATACTGTTGTCACCACACAACATCAAGGGCTTCTACCTTGAGACCGACCGAACCAGGCTAGCAGCATTTTGCTTACTGGCGCTGTGGAGCATGGATCCCGTGAGACAGTTGTAAAGCTTTCTGCCCAATACACACTTTGCTACTGCTCTCATTATAAGCCAGTATGGCCGGGAACCATATTCTCATTCCAACAAGGAAGCAATTAGCTTTTAACCTTGCCAGAGCACTGCCGTCACGAACTCTAAATCGGTTCCGATATCATCTTCTCACACCTCTGTGTCTGACGTGAAATCAGACCAGCCTTTCTCTGGCCGTTCAAGGAATGAAATCAATTGTTATCTGGTATCAAAAGGGAAGCAGTAGTGGGAATGGACAATGAAACTGACCACCGAAGTGCCTGAGATTGAGCGTCGGACGTGTTTGTGTTGCCATGGAAACTTTGGTCACCTCCAATGACCAACAAACTAGTGGCCAGACATGGCCTTTTAATGTTTCGAGCGATATAAATGGCAATATTCCGCTGCTTTTCATGTCCTATACTGGTGGATCTTGGGCTTAAATTGTGGGGATCAATCAAAGAATGCAAATAGCAACACCAGATCCGAGACTTTCTGTACGTATATATAGGGTGCACCGCTTCTTAATATCGCATGTAGTGTTGACACAGCTTGTCGTGGTTTAACTGGCGTTCATGGTGTTAAGCTGTCCCTTTTGTGCACGACTTCGGAGGGTTTGTGTTTAGTCACGCGTACTACCTTTTCCGAATCCGAACAATGTTTTGCCCTGGCCTGCATTTCTACGAACCTGCGAAAACTTAGTCAAGCAAGCTCGGCCTTCGACTTCGATTCAGCCTCTTGATTTCTATGATAACCTTGCAGGTTTGCAGTTTAAAAAGAACGACGATCTACAAGCAGACTCATTTCCAAGATTTTGGTACCATACTACAAGAAGCAAAGCTGTTGAGCAAGACTACAGATGCAGAAAAAGTGTCGATGTGAATTGGTCCGTTTGTCTGGTTCTGGGGATGCAGGATTTGAATTTTGGCAACCCGTCTAATATTCCCTGCAGTCAGAATGTAGGCGTCCTTTCATCAGCTTGTTCATTTTTATCATGCTGAGTGAATGGCAGCAGCTGTGTTACGATAAGCAGAGCCGAACGCATAAATCATAGTTTCTTTTGCTTTTTGTTAACCTGAACCATTTCATTGACCAGAGTAGGCTCAGGTCCATATTTTACATCTCTTTGGTATCTCACTCGCCCGCTTAAACCGTAGATGACGATAGACCAGTCACTAGGACTGGTGCAATTAAGATATAAAGCAGCAGTGCTGGAGAGATAGCGAGATTAACCTTTACTCGTTATCAGCTAACACAGCCCTATCATTTCACTCCAATATCAACCCATATCTTTTTTTCCATAATTTTTGTTTAAAAAGATTTATGAGCGACATAACGGACAAAGCCGCCAAAGAAGGCCATGATCTCACCCACACAGCTGGGGTAGAAGATGAAAACGTCGGTTCACTCCTCCATCACCCCTAAACCACAAAACATTCCCCTACACAAGTTCGACTGACGTATGAACTCCTGAAACAGTATCATGAACGCGAGGCCAAGGGAGATGCCAGAAGATCCGACGCTCCTGGGCCCATTTCAACAGGGAACACCGAGGGTACCCGACTTCCCATGTCCACTTAGTTCCCAAGAGATTGATGTGGGTATTGCCTTACGCAAAGACGAGCCTGATGGCAGACAATTGTTCTACGGAAACGTAATCGACCTTTTAACTCGCCCACTATACAAGGGGCTTTGTTGTGAGATGGGGGCTATGCGAATCACTCCTGCGCTGAACCATAGCTTTTATTGTGTAGGTGTGATGAATTTTCTCTGATATACGAGGTACAGTAGACACCAACACTGAATGAAGATGACCAATTCTGCGGTTGGATTGGTTGGTAGTCAGAGATGCAACGTGGCTTGGTCTTTGCCTAATCTTGATGCGTTGTTCTTTGAGTAGAGGAACGGGCTCATCATCGGTGAGTGAAATGAAATGGCATGACCTGTTGCCGCCCCACCCGTCGCAACAACGTACCGACATATGGTGGTGGATGTTGATATGCATCATCGGTGCTTCTCTGCGGCATTTTCGCGACTGTTTAAACGATACCAACAGTGAGAAAGGTTTTTCATATACTGGATCACTAGGAAAAAAAACCAATGCCTTCGAGTGCTGCATTAAAACAATTGTGAAATGTTGAACCAGCTGCAATTGAAGGGTCGTCGGTATTTGTGCCCTCACAATTCACAGCGATCATTGCGTCGACGCAAGCAGAATGACTGACTTCAATGCTATGAATACCCGATGCCTCGCCAGCAGAACAGTCGTTCTCAAGCATTCCTTTGTCACTCCAGTTCGAAGGATTTCAGACGCTTTTCGTCTTCGCCAGCAACAGTTGGGTATGGACTGATCTCGAAGCCATGCACTTATAATTAAACTGACCTTTTAATCGAACTAGCCTGTCATTGTTCGATGCTAAAGTCTTCAAACAGCAAGTGAGTGAAGCTGTCCCGTCATTTGAGATTATGCTGATATGTAATATGCTCAAGATCAGTCCCACCTCCGCTACTCTAGAAAACCATTTGAAGGACCTCCGATGTCCTCAAAAATTATCGCAGCTGCGAGCACAGTGAGTTATAAGTTGCCTTCATAAGCTGCCTACAGATGATTCATGACAGATCGAAGTCGCCCCTTACACAGCCGCTTCGACCTTGCCAGAATGCAGCGAATAGCAATAGCTATGTAACGTAAGTCTTTATCAGCGGCAATTTGGGAAGTATTCATCCTGTGCTAACGACTCCCTGTATAAGAAGGCAGAATTTCGATCACGAGTCGCTCGATCTCCTCTAAGTCACCCTGGTGCGTTGCCTCTGCCTATTCCCATGGCCGGGGCTGCATTGTGGATCTCAGTGCAGATGTTGTTTTTACTTGAGGTTTGATCTTGTCGTGCTCTCTGTCCATCAGGAAAGATCGTCGATCCATTTTTCTGGTCATAGGACATATGCTGAGCCGTACTTCCCCATTGTGCTCAGAACTAAGGATGCACGTCGGGCAGGACCAATTATGAACCCCAGTGCGTTTCTATTTCGCTGTTCCAAGACACCTGTTTGAAACGTCCATTTCGCTCTCGTTGACGGAACAAATCTAGGAAAGCCCGGTGCCCTTTGATTAGCCATAATCGAGATCATAGTTTGCTAAATTCCACCAGCTCACCTTGGGTAAAGTCACTTCATAGCTTTTTTCATCGTAACGGTGATGTTTTATTGAGATTTGGCGGAGAAAGGCTACATTATCATGGATAAAATTTCCTGAAAATTTGTTAGCGTGCAAGACCATGTGCAGCTGGGAGGGTCAATGTGACAGTCGCCCAACGGAGGATGATTCTCACCCAAGTCGCGTAACGCTAAAGCGGCGCTCACTTTATTCTCCAAACTTCCGACTAACTCTCAGTAGTCAGCTGAACGCTTTTCCCAATCTGCGATAACATGATGTAGTTGGAAGCTCTGGAATATCTAAGCCCATCTCCTACTTCTGCAGCAGGATTAAAGAGTCGTTGTCTCGGGTAGGTTCTCCCACATGTCCCACCCCTCTGTCGTCCAAGGAAGGTTTCCGTTTGTTATAGGGTGCACGCATGCATGGCAGATTTTGCTCTTGGCAGACAACCGAAACGAGCATTGAGACTCAATTATTTGCAATGCAGCTTTGTAATGAGCTGCCTTTAAAATTGCCCGTCCAGTTGAGCCAAGGATATTGTACTGATGTTGCATCAAGGGAGTCTCTGTCTC